AAGTACAAAATGCACAGCAGAGCTTTAGCAAAAGGCTAAATCTGCTACATAACATTACAGTTAAAGTATAAGAAGTGGAGACTCAGCACGTGATGGCATTGCAATATAATAATAATAATAACTATGGGAATTGTAGCCAGTTATCAGTATTTTGTAAAAAAGTTTAATATTAAGCATCCCTTAGCGGGAATCAGCTACAAATGTGCTAAGTTTTACTGATGAACCAACAGTTTGGCTGAACACCATTTAAACTTGATCTGCATAACAGCAAACAGTCAGACAAGGCACACCGAGCAGACTCATCTGCATCCAAGTCTGGCATTGGATAAGCAGAGACGGCCCACCTAGAGTCCCCGAGTGACCACAATTTACTGCACGACTGACAGCTAGCAGTGGCAGTCTGCAGTGTCATGAGAAAGAAACACACTCAAAGACAGACTGCAACGAAACAAGAAACAGAAGAAAGCAAACAAGCAAGAAAGACATGAAATGAAATGAAGACACGGTAGAGAAAGAAGGAAAAAACCAAACACGTGTGGTCCCATCGAAGAGGAAAAGTATAAATAAAACACAATCATTGACCAGCTACTGCCACACTTTAACGAGGAGCTCAGAGAGAGACGAGGGGGGGAGGAGTAAGTGGAGGGAGCCCACCGGGTTGCCGCGGCAACCGCAATTAGAACCCAGTATAACAAGAGGAATGAAGACGAGCGGACGACGCAGGTGAGACACGCAGAGACGCAGGTAACTGAGATTAATGCAGAAAAATGACCTTTCATCCTGTTGCTGCTCATGCAATAATATGATGAGCACACACACGTCAACTGCAGGAGGTGGCAGCAGCTCATTCAACGCAATACATGAAGAAAGCATGACGTCATCTTTTAAAAACACACACACATACACACACGCTTGCATACTGGAGCAGGATTATTGGAGCCAAGATTAGATAATTATAGATAATTAAAATAATTCAACTTCCAGTCATAAGTTTTTTGGTATCGCCCCTAATCACAGCGAGGCTTCTCAACGCCCGCACTATAAAAGATAAATGAAAAAGACGCCTTCCAAACTCAGACCATCACTGAAAATGAAGACAAACTCCCACAAAAACTTCATTAAGAAAAAAAAAAATAGTGAAAGAAACCTTTGACACAGCTAACAACAGTTAACAACACACAGTGATTTTTTACAACACTGATGAATTCAAAAACGCCCATTTCTAAGCACTGATCAAGCACCTTTGTGCCAAGAGACATAATGCCAACTGGAGGCTGGCAGTTTGTAAGGTCGCAGTGTTAAGGCCCAAAATGTCAATATTGGTCCCGAGGGAAGGAATAATTAAGGCGTAAAGATCTAAAAGGCTTGTCACATATGGCCGGGCCAGCTGTCACATCTGTCTGTTCATATTCACGCCGGTATAACAACCAAGAGGCCTGTACTAAAGCAGCAGCAGCAGTACGTAATGGCTGCAGCATTAAATGTCAGCTGACTGAGCTACAAGCTACGCGGCTCGCACGAGACCGCACACCGAAAGAGGAGAAGCCTGGCATTTCAAACAATACACAAGCTTCCACTTCTCATTTCAGACGTTCACTCCCGCGTGGGTTGTCTCAGAGAGATCTAGGCTATTCCCTGTGGTTCTACTTCAGGCATCCCTAGTGTTCGGCGTTACGCAAGGCAGCGTTGCAGAGCAGAACACAGGAGCGCGGTATTTAAGAGGGGGAAGCATTAACCTCTGCAGAGCTCCTACAGGATGTCAAATAGAAAAGTTTACCCTTTTAGGGCAACAAGGGGACAATCCCTCAGCAACCGGAGCACCTTTAGGGGCAAACCGTCAGCCAACATCCGCCCTGCTGACGTGTCAGTGAGCAAGGCACTGAGCCGCTTGCCTGCTCCTGTCCTCTCAAGGAGAATAACAGCGTTGCTTGTTTGTTCTGTGGCGTCACTGGTTCTGGCCTTTGCAAACCTTACTCAGCTTGTTTTGGTCCAAGTAGTCGCTTCGTTGCATTCATGCAGTGGCTGCTTTGATGATAACCATATACAATTTTCAATTCAGCAGTAATCTATCAACAAGAGCCACGCGGCAGGCAAATTAGTCCACACAAATCCAATTGCAGTGTGTGTCGCTGTAGCTTAGTCTTGGCTCTGTGTTCGCACTGAGCTCGGACACTTCTTGTCTGCTCGTTTGCAGAGTTTAGAAAATGTCTTTTTTTTTTACTTGAGTGCAAGTTTGCCCTTGGCTCATTTTGTTTTTGTTATGCTTGGCTTTTCAAGCATGAGTAACCACCAGCTATTGGATGTCAACATCCGTCTCCTTATAGCCATGAAACTGAGTTTCAGGGTCACTTCTTATAGATGAAGGTCTAACTCCAGACAAACTGCCTCGCAGTTCATTTGAGGTTCAGATTTAAAAGCCACCGCACTCGCCTGCCTAAATGAAAGAAACAAAGAGCTCAAGGGTTTAAATCTCTTATTTTTTTCATCTTGCCTGGTCAAGAGAGAGGGTCAGAAATCTACTTGCCCCGAGACAAATTGTTGTATTTATTAGAGGTTATCAAATACCAACAAACACTTAGTTGATCATGTTTTATCAGACTTGGTCTCAAACTGTGCCATACATAGTTGGAGTTGCGCCCACATCCTCTCTAACAACACCCAACTAAACTCCTGCAACTCTCCACAGAGATGAGAAGTATAGGTCAAAATGGCTGAAGTTCAAGTGGTTTTGGTTTATTTATGGAGCACATGTCAAAACAGCAATAGTTGACCAAAGTGCTGCACAGTTGTAAAACAACATTACAATATATAAGAAGGCTCAATCTTCAGTTACTTCCATCATTAGCTCCGCAATAAAACTATGCGTTTAATTATTTTTTACCACATTTACTAGCCCGAAGTGGAATTTTACTCGCCTTGGGCTAGCGGGCGAGCCTCATTGAAGTTGTCGCTATATGTGCCGTGCGTCTTCTTGAGGTTTCACCCCGAGAAACGCGACGATGTGGTTGTGTGTGGCGGGCGGCTGGTAAAAGTGACTGACAGGTCAGGTGAGCGCCGCGGTCCGCTCAGGCGTGCAGATCCAGCTCCTCTGACTGATCTGAAGAGGCTTCAATTAACTGGAGCAGCCGAGTGTGAGGGAGGGCGACCGGCCCCCAGACAAGCCTCTTGACAGAATTTTGGGGGGGTTTCAGATGAGTGGGGCCCTCCGACAGCTCCTCTAATGCCCCCACCAACTCCAACCTTTCTCCATCTCCTCTTAGCTAATTACCAAGTATCGATATGGAGACACTTGTCACTGTGATCGCAGCAAATTGGCTGGAACTGCAGGGTCAGCAAAGACTGACACTCTCACTCGCGTGTACAGGCGCACACACACACACACACACACACACACACACACACACACACACACACACACGTCTAGAAACTATTTTGAGTTTCCAGAGAGAACAGAAACGAAGTCACAAGCAGGAAATCCAATATCACAGGCACCGACTCACATACAGTACATCTGCAAAAACCATATTCATGTCAACTCTGCATAATGCTCTGTATGTATGATAATATGGAGAGGAGGTGATTAAAATATATGCCAGCATTTCTCAACAAAATCCCACACACACAGATTTCATTTTCATGGAGACATACAGCATGCTGACATCAGAAGACACTGCCAAGTGAAACGCTAGTTCCGCTTTGAATGAATGAAGGTAAGACACGCTCCAAACGTGTGGGAACGCGGAGAAAATATCTCAACTGTGGAACTCTTGAAATCCCTCCACTTGCTCTACGTCCACCTTTTAAACCAAAAAGAAAGATTCACTTTGCTGAACGTTTGATGAAACAATGCGACTGCAGACAAACCCGTATACGCAGCAGCAGGCCAGTGTGTCACATCAATAATTCACCATCACTTGGTATTTTCTCCTCTCAGCACACAAATGTGTGTCTTATGGCCTCTAACTGAATAGTGCGCTGTTCAGTCTTTTGGTCGAGGCTTTGCTCCGGCTTTCTTGCTGTTCTTGCTAGTTTTACATTACCTAATTAGCATGGAAAAGTTTTTCGGGGGAGGCATGAAACACACAGGCCTACATAATTTCCCCTGTGGGATATATTTTATTGTTCTTTTTTTTTTTCGGGGCCTCTCATGGTAGCACATCCTCCATGCCTCCGCCCTCATTTCCCCTTCTAAAAACCTGATCACCTTCCTCTTTTCTCACTTTTTTTTGTCTTTTATTAGAACTTGGTGAGATTTCCACTTTCAAATGACGGCTGAATACTACCGAAAACTTCTTACCCAGCTGCCATTTCTAGGATCAAGTCTCTGCTGCATCCTCTGTTCTCTTGCTACTTGGTATTCCTCCACTGGTGTCCCTCAGATCGTCCGTCACCTTCATTCTTTTTGAAGGTTTGTGTGTTTTCTATTCAAAGCGTCTACCTTATTTTCATTCTGGGTCATCGATTTCCTTTTACCAACCGTTTGGTAAAAGGAAATTGTATTGAAAGACGCATTTTAAAAAGCAAAAAACAAACTACAACTTAGCAACATCATTATTTCCCATGACATGTCTGCAAAGTAGACGACCAAAGACTTGAACGCCACACAGAATTTAAAAGAACACAGCAAACAAATGAACACGTAAATCAAATGAACTGAAGAACAACATTGGTTTGTATTGCCTGGGCTGCAGAGCACATGACAAAAGGGAGACTCCAATATTTAAGAAATACAACAGAAATAAGCTAATTTAAGACTTAAAACACCTCAAATTAAACAAGGCCTTGAGTTTAAAAAATATGACCTACACACTAAATTTTAAGTTAAAAGTGCTCATGTGTGCCACTAAAATTCAACAAATGTATCATAGACTGAAAGTGTTTCTCTCACCGCCCCTATTGCAGACCTCCCTCTACAGTGTAGTTCCTCATATTGGTATAGACCAATACCCCCCCCCCCCCTTTCTTCCCTCTCCTAGATCCTCACCCCATTTGGTACTCACCTACATCAAAGTCCCTCGCACATCTGTTCCGCTTGCAGCTGCCATGACTGGCCAGCTGGACTCTGTCCATCAGGCCTGTCTGTCCGTAGGTGTGTCAGTCTACTGCGTGTCTGTCCACAGCCCGAGCTTCTTGGCAAAAGCTGCAAAACGCAAACAGCGGAAAGAATCAACAAGACTGTTGTGAGAGCGAGCGTGGGCGTGAGCCAGTGCCTTATCGTATTCTTGCAAGAGACTCCTTGTCAAGTTGACTGTTTGTGAGCGCATCTGTTATGTAGGAGACTTGAATGCAGAACGAGCTGGAGAGCGTGTGTGTGTGTGTGTGACAAGATATTACAAAGACATGTTTTATGAAGAGGTAGTGAGGTTTACACAGCGAGGCGGAAACAAAGTGGAACCGGAGCCCTGCTTATGTAATTACACCCGGCATTAAAACACTAATCCAAACACAAACTGTATCTGGACTGTTTCCAAAAACAGCAAACTGAAGCTAAGCCACAGGTGTGAAGGAAAGCCATCTCATGTCCATAAATCAAACGACGGCGCTTATAGCAACAAGATTCAAAAGCAGGCTTAGTGCTTCGTTAATACTTCTTGGGGGTACATTTACACTGACCCATAAACGTGGATGCAAATCTTTGTGGTTGAATTCAGACGTACACGCTGCATGTTAATGTAATGTGTAAAAAGGCCCACAGAGAGCCAGATAACAGTACAACCATCTGACACAACAGACCCACAGTGGCACTCAACTCTGGCGTAGAGGTAGACTCTGGCAGGCTCATTAACAACCCCAAAGTCTAGCGCTGCAATCCAGTGTGTACTTGGGGGTACTCCTCCTGTCTCTCTTTCACAGCGTTTCCTTGAAATTGAAAAAATAGATTTTCAAAAGTATTTCCCCACCGGATTCTCCAGCTGTTCATTTAAGAGTCATTGCGCTCATAATACATAGAGATGCCTGTAATTTAAAGACATTTTAAGTAGGAATATTGATACTAAATACTGATTTGAGTTAAATGTATGCTATGCCCAGCTCATAAAGTACAAAACTGCATTTTAAAGCAGCCATGAATGACTTAAAATGACGGCAATAGCTACAGAAAAAAAGCGAGTTCCCCCAGAAGTTAAATGAATTGTGACAAACTGAAACACTATACCTACAGTTGGTCCGGATTCACTGAAAAAAGAAGAGGCTACTTTTTACACGAAGGCTCTTTGTATTCACGACCAGGATCCAAACTGCCTGCGGGCTTTTACCTCAGAGAGGAGATGATCTCCGTGAATGAATGAAATATCTTAAGAGCCACATGTTTACACGTACATACCGAGGAAATGTCAATCAGATGCATAAAACAGAGGTTGAGCCCTGAGAGAAATGCCAAAAAAGGGAACCGGACTGTGTGTGTGTGTGTGTGTGTGTGTGTGTGTGTGTGTGTGGGCCCAGCACTGTCTGATCAATAGCTCCCCTGAAATGAATACGTGATCACTGACTCAACAAAGCAGCCGTTCACTCCAAACTTAACAAAATAGATGCAACCTGGATCAATAGGCCCCGTTTCAAAAAAAATATATTTAATAGCAACGTAGTTTTATAAAACAGGCAGATGGGATACTGGCCATCCTGCCTTTAAACACCCCCATTCAGTACAATACATCTTTTTTTATTGCTTTTGATTTGTGACATTTAGCAGACAAAGAGCCACTGTTATTTCAGTAATCATTTTTCCTCATGGGTCAGTTTTTCCCTTTACATAATGCAGGTTGTAGAGTATTATACCATGGCTGAAGAGAAATACTGGATACTTTCAGATAACTGCACAGCTTTGGCACAAAGTTTTATGCATTCAAACTTGGCAACCTCTAGTTTGAGCGTATGCTGCCTCTAATTGTAGCAGCAAGACAATGATGAAGGAAGTGATGAATCGATCAGTCTAAAGATGTCACCTTAACAATGACATTTTCATTATTAAGCTGATGTATAACTGCGTAGTATTTTAATCTGAATTACTCAGATTATAAAAGGCAACCATATCTCAGAACCTCATTTCTGGCTGTAAAAGGCAGCTGTTTTCAGCAAAGAAGCTCTAAAACCAACTGCAAACAGTTCGTTTGCTCCCATCAGGTGAACTAAGGGGAACATTTAGAAGCTAAAGAGTCACGTTTTCCTCAGAGGTTGGTGGAGAAAAGATGATAATAAGTCAGTGTTGTGTTCACAGCTTGTTTGTGCTGCCCCCAAGAGGATAAAAAAAACAATTATTACAGAACGAATGATATTCTGACCTATCACTGACATCGTTCTGTCTTGATAGAACGATCAGCAACGTAACAACAATGTCCTCGACTTCAACATCTTCTTCCTTCCACATTTCTGGGTTTTTTTTTTACCTGAAAAGTTTTTTAGGTCAGAGGTGTGATAGTGGGTTGTGACCACAGGAAATTAAGTATGACCTGTAGCTTGTAACAACCCCATCAAGAGTTCAGATAAGAAGGATGGGAATCTGCCTCCACGCCCTTTCTCCGTCTCCTCTGTCCCGTGTCGCTTGCCCTCCTCTGACTCCGGCAGTCTAAAGCGGTCAGTTAAGACGAGGACAGACGACAATAGACAATCCCCCCCCCCCCCCCCCCCCCCGCGCCATACCGCCCCAAGGCCTGACTGGTTGACTCCAGCAGCGTCTGAGCATCATGAGACAGCACGGCCCATCTGGGAAAAAAGAAGAAAAAAGAAAAAGGAGGATGGAGCTGCCAGACAGGGAGGTGGGAAACAAAAAATACAAGAGCAGGAAAAGAAATTGAAGGTGGAAAAATGAAGAACCGACAAGACAGAAGGGTGGGGTGGGGGGGGGAGCAGGATGAAAGATAGATCGGTGTATAACAGGCTGATGAAGTACAGAGGAAGATGGAGAGAGAAAGGAGCGGAACAGCAGCACAAACAACAGTCCAAAAGAGAGGGACACGAAGAGATGGGGGTACCCCGGAAAATAAACTGCTGGACTCAATTCTTGTCTCAAAAGAGGGGCAAAGAAAGGTGGAAGTAGATAGATTTGCTCCTCCTACGTCTCAGGGCTCCTGAAACCTGTACAGACTTTAAAAAACAATATGTAGAAAGGAACAAAAAGCGCCAGGGGGGGGGCTACATCAAGCGCTTCACTACATGTGAAAAAGAGCCACAGAGGAAGAATAAGTGGCACAATTAAGAGCATACTGTCATCACAGCCAATCAACCCTGGTGCCGCCCACACACACACACAGGCACCGAGCAACAGACCCATCACGAGGAGGGATGAAGGGCTACTAATTCCCCCCGAGCAAGGCAGCACTAGACTGCGAATAGTGAACGAGCAGATATCTTAAGGGCGCAACAGCTACACAGCATTCTAATGCAACGGAAACACGAGTCACATGTCGACGATTCGCTCCATCACAAACACGTCCCCATGGCTCCTGAGAGAAATACTGACATTTGAATATAATCCTGCTGACATGCAAATGAAGTGCAGCCAATTCCACAACCCGCATGTTCATCAGGAAGAAGAAAAATAGACGTGGTGTGTGAATCTGAAACCAATCACAGGTGGACGCATACCCTCACTCAATGAAATACAAACTAGATTTAATGAGCTCCTCCACGGTGACATTTCCTTTTCTCCATCTTTTACAACCATCATTCACCCCCCCCCCCCGCCACCAACGTCTGCCTCCCTCCATCCCCCCAACTCACTCGTTTTTTTTCCACTCTAAATCCACTTCTCTGCCTCTGTCTTTTTCTCTTTCCCTCTCTCCATCCAAAACAACAGCCTTTCCAGAAAGAGGGCCATCAATCTTCTTCAATGAGAGCAGAGTGCGAGGGAGTGCCAAGGCTGGAGCAGATTACTATCTCTCCTTACCACCACTCAACACTGGATAACATAAAGAAGGAGAGGAGAGGCAGGGAGGGTCGAGAGCGAGTCAAAGGCACAATCTTTGGATAGCGAGCGGACACATTAGATCTTAAAAGCCTCAAAACAAACTTCCACCCCCTGTCAACAGCGGAGGCTCGTCAAGCAGAGGAGCACAGCGGCAGAATTTGAAAACTTTAATTCTAACTGGCAACTCCAAACCTGACCCTTGGTTTATTCCCACAGAGAGCTCTGCAAATGGAAAGACAGGAGCTACACGGTAGCTTTCATCTCCTGTAAAACAGCTGGATTTGGAATTAATTGGCCATTTTAATACATTTCATTAATGAATCTATTTTGATTGTCTCGATCTGTTCAAATGTCAAAACAAGATGATAAAAGAAAATCCACATCACCAGCGCCCCAAAGTCCACGGTGAGCTCTCCAAATTGCATTTGAGAAACGAGCAAAGATGTCTTCCTGGATAGATGATTAACTGTGGAGCTCTGAAGCATTTTATCAAATCTGCTTATTGAATGTGGATCCTTTCAAATCCCTTGCCAAATTTGAATTGATGTTGAGCTTTAAATATCACTCAAACTCAAAGAACTGTATTCACCTTTGGCCGAGAAGGGAGGCGCACTCCTCTGAAGGTTTGTCAGACCCTTTTATTTGATGTTCATAGAAGATACATATATGTGCAAACATGTACCTAAATTCACTAATACGTAGGATATTACTGCTAATTGCTCAGCCAATCCAGGTATTTTAATTCACAGGAACCAACAGGACCCAAAATCCTGAAACAAAAATGGAGAGAGACGTGATGGAGCATGATGTTTATTTTCTTGAAAAGCCACTCCAACAGTTGTTAGTATGTGAATGTGCGTTAGTGTTATATGCTAAACTTGCAGCGTCGTGATATTTAAAGTGTGCGAACGTGTGCGAACGTGTGTGACACAAACACCAGCATGTCCACGTCCAAGTGTGTCCTGAGCCCATGGGAGAAAGAGATGGGATGCACGGTAAAGTGCTGAATCTCACCGTGTTCAATCAAAGGACACAACAAGACCACCAAGCCAGCTCTGACAGCTACATTCACGATCGAACATGATAGAGCTAATCGCCATGCAGCTTTCTTGCTAAGGAGAACCTACATGGGGGAGTTTTGTCAAGGCATAATGAACTCTCCTCGCATTGTCACAGCTCTGTTGAG